AAACTTCCAAACTGTGAGATTCACGGATGTATTGTACGTTCCACAACTGGACAGGAAGCTTCTCTCTATTGCAGCACTGGTCGCCAAAGGTTCTGAGGTTTTAATTAAGAAGTACCACTGTGATATTCGCTTCGGGGGGAGATTGGTCGCGCGGTACGAAAGGAAGGGAAGCTATTTCCGTGGCCCGCACTGTGCGTCGCTGGAGACACGACACAAGGAGTTGAAGTGGCTGCAGCATCTATGGACTCGGCGGACGCGCACTGTGGAACGACCGTCTTGGTCATATTTCAGCAGCAAGAATGACAAGTGTGGTGCGTGCGGTAAGTGGAGTGCCTGTTGTGAACAATGCAGCGAGCGAGGACGATCTATGCGAGAGATGTGCTATGGGGAAGCTTTCGGTGAGTGCGTTTGCACGTCAGTCAGGAAGCACGGTCAAGACAACGAAATTGCTCGAACTATTACACTCCGATGTGATGGGACCAATGCGGACAACTTTCAAAGGTGGAGTACGTTTTGTTGTTACGTTTATCGACGACTTTTCGAGATACACGCATGTATTTCTGCTGTCGTCGAAGGACCAGGTGTTTAAGAGCTTTGTGGAGTACAAGAATCTTGTCGAGAAGCAGACTGGTGAGCGACTACTATGTCTCCGGAGCGACAACGGCACAGAATACATCAACAAGCAATTTCGGAGTCTCTTCAGCGAACACGGTATCGTACAGCAAACCAGCGCCTCCTACAGTCCACAGCAAAATGGACGGGCAGAAAGGATGAACCGAACCATTGTGGAAATGGCCAGGTCCATGGTGCACTATATGAGGTTAGAATTGGAGTGGTGGGGAGAAGCAGTACGTGCTGCGGTATACACGGTTAACAGGCTGCCGAACACTGCTCGACCTTCCATATCACCGTTCGAGATGTTTTACGGCAAGAAACCAGAGCTTTCACACTTTCGAGTGTTCGGGGCACGCGGGTTTGTGCACATTGACAAGAGCAAGAGATCGAAGTGGGACCCCAAGGCGCATAACTGTATCTTCCTAGGCTACTCAGAGACGTCTAAAGCATACCGCGTCTGGGACTTGGATGCAGAACGCGCGGTTACGACTCGTACAGTTCTTCTGGATGAGCGTCCACCCGCTTCTCACTACAACGTGTACTCAGATGGGGAGGCAGGAGCTCGTATTATGCAGTGGAGCATCCTTGATGACGAAGACTTGAGCTCGCCGGTACCATCACCTCAGCCTGCTCCTGATACTTATATGGAAATTGATGAAGACCTAGCTCCCGGTGGCTCTGAGGAGATGGATGTTGATCAGGACGGTGGTGATGATGTGCATCAGCAAACTGCTAATCGCATTGTACCTCGCCAAGATAGCCGCAGTGACGGTGGGCTTCGCGCTGTATCGTGTCCACGACAAGTTCTCTCTGAAACAGACTCGCTACCATTGCTCCCGCCAGCTTCGAGTGTGACTCGTACAACAATCTTTAATCCCGTTGTCGAGAGGGGGGAGGACAGTTGGTACCTGCTACTGGATCATTGCAAAGTGCGCAAAGACATGAACCTGTTCCTGGTGGCACATTAGAGGTCTCATCTCCAATTGTAGAGCTAC